ATGGGTTACATAAGATATTTTGATACAGGCATGCATATTATTATCCAGTCATTATTTAAATCATTATCCAATCATGGATAATGATTATTATCATGCATTGCATGCCTGTATCAATAAATGGGATACTCATCCCCTCAAACATTTATTCTTTATGTTACAAACAATCCAATTATACTTTTAGTTACTTTTAAATGTAAGATTAAATTATTTCTGACTATGCTCAACCTGTTGTGCTTGTAAATGAGATTTAAGAATTTGAAAATAATTATAAACTTTCTTTCTTTTGTGTTTCAGATTCCACTAGTATACATCCAGGTAAGAAACATGAAGCATTCCATATTAGAAGGAAAGTAACACATATAGGGAAATGCTCTTACCTGAGAGGTTTTAACGACATCTCAGAAACTTGTCATTAAAGGAGAAGCCTTCCAACTCACATAGGGCTAGATGGTTATGACTCATCTCCTCTCCTCACCCTTTACCACTACCCCATTTGTCCTTTTTGTAGGTAACAAGAGTTTCCATAGATTTCTTTTATTATGTCTAATGCTCCAGGTGCTTTTGTAAATTATAATTCATTTATTCATAGGATCCCAAAGGAAATCGCATCGCACAATGGCAGAGTCTTGAGTTAGAGGGTGGCCTCAAGCAATTGTCTTTTCCCCTCTCATCAGAGCCCTTCCAGGGCTCCTACAAAGTGGTGGTACAGAAGGAATCCGGTGGAAGGAGAGAGCATCCCTTCACCGTGGAGGAATTTGGTATGGATCATGGAAAGTCATGGAACATGTTTCTTCATTCATGTTTAAACTCCTAGGGCCTGGAATTTAAGCTCATTTGGAGTCTTTCCATTTCCCATGGGTGACATTGGGCTTGGAGTAAAACTCATCACACCTAAGTCCAATGAGGGACATCAGTGATTTTTAAATAGGACTTCACATAGCTTGGTTATTTTCTATAGTAATATTTAATACCTCCCCCAGAAATTTAAACAGCCTCATTTTAATGGAGTTTTCCATAATGAATTAAGCATCTTGCAATCTCTCATAGTCACTCAGCTAAAATCTTCATTTCAGAGGAGGATGGATAAGAATATATTGGAGAGCAGAGCTGCCTTTTCAGAGCCCTAAAATATTATTAGGGAACTGTTAAAGGGAACCTGAAAATATGAATTCCTTCAAAGTTGAAAAACAATCACCAACCTTCTTTATCACCAATCAACAGTTCTTCCCAAGTTTGAAGTGCAAGTAACAGTGCCAAAGATAATCACCATCTTGGAAGAAGAGATGAATGTATCAGTATGTGGCCTGTGAGTTCATTTTTTTCATCTTCTCAGAGGAATTATTTAAAAGAGACTCACTATTTGGAATATTTTAGCTACTCCCTGTAGGAGCAGTGGCAACACAAAAATTTTAAGTGCTTTGACACCTTCTCATCTCTAGAACGTTATTCTTCTGTTGCTTCTCTATTTTTCCTTTTTATTTTCTTTCACGTTCTTATCAGCATTGTTCTGTCATGAGGTAAGGAACTGTTTCTAGAGAGGTTATGCTAATAGGACAGATTCTGAAAGTGATGAAACCGCGCGCGCGCGCGCACACACACACACACACACACACACACAGAGGAAGGGTGGATAATGTTGAAGGGTATTGGCTCTGCCTTAACCAAAAATGACCAAACATTATCAGAAAGATAATTAACACATAGCTCTAGGGGAAATTCAATCATCAACAGATCATTTACCTGACCTTGTATGCTCAGTGGAAAAATCACTTAGATTCAGAATTTGTAGAGATAGGCATACAACTGAAGCCTCATCTAACTCGCTAGTCTACTTAAGGCAGGTCTACATATCTCTGCACTGACATTTTTACCGAGGAGACTGAACATGATCTCTCAAGACAGTCTCTTCTAACCTTGAAAAATCATGTATCCTGGATCTAATGCTCCTATCCCTGGTGACACACAGTAGCGGTAGCAAAAAGAGCAGGTAGAGTGAAGAAATCAGTCCTGCCCAAAGATCACACATGTAATACACCTACTATTCAGCGGGCCCCTGCCCCAATTCTGTCTCACAGTAATGGTCAAGTTCCTGGTTCCTCATAATTGGTGGGCCAGTGATCTTGCAAAAAGAGATACAGAGGACATTTTCAAATAGGAAAGGAGACAAATCCACTTGGAAATCCAGCAATCATCCATGACATATTTATGACACGATCCCACTTTTGTAAAAAGTAAACAAGTAAAACTCAATATAATATTGAGATGGCTGCACATGGGGAGAGGATGATGGAAGAAGAAGCACTATCGTACTAATAGTTTATACTCCTGGGCAGACTTGAGGGTGTTTGTTTCCTCTCTTTGCTTTTGTTCTGTTTGTTTCATTTTGCTGGTATTGTTTTTTTCTTTTAAGAACAGTTTTAAGTTTTATAATAACTAAGACTTTTTAAAGATAAAACTGAAAAACTATTAAGAAAAAAAAGAAAAGAGAAAAGAAGAATGTAGTAAATTTCAGCATGTTGCAATGGTGATTTCTATAAGAGCCATTAGTGACACTTGCGTTCAACATTGTGTGACCCCAGCAGAGAGAGAGGGAAGTACAGATGGGGAATATACTGTAGATAAAGGGGAGATATAAATAGCTAGAAAATGGGTTGGTTCAGTGTCTGCTCTGATTCCCTTGGGAATGTGTTCTCACGACAGATATACATATGGGAAGCCTGTTCCAGGACATGTGACTGTGAGCGTTTGCAGAAAGTATAATGATGCTTCTGACTGCTTTGGTGAAGAGTCACAGGTTTACTGTGAGAAATTCAGTGGACAGGTAGGTCGAACACTGTTTTTTTTTTTCCAGGAAATAACAATAAAGGCATTGTTGAAAAGCAGTGAAGTGAATTGCAGCATGGTTCTCTTCTCAGGAAGAGAACAATCCAGAAGATAATTCCATGTTGGCTATTGTAATGTTTCCAAAAATCATGAACTTAACACAATGGAAATTATTTATTGTGAGTGTTTCAGAATGATAGATGCTGAGCCATCCAAATCCTCCATGGGCATCAACTTCTACAAAGGAAGGAGAAAAACCACACACCTCTTAACTGCCTTAGCTGGCCAGGGCATCAGTTCTGCTCTCTCTGTGAGCAAGAACCTGTCACATGGCCCCACCAAGATGCCAGAGAGTTAGGGAACATGGTCCCCATATGGGAGGCCACTTCCCAGCAACAACTGAATGCTATGGAGGAGAAACCAGACTTTGATGAGGAGTTTTAATGGTCAAGAACAGATGTACTGTGTGTTTCAAAATAGCAAATGGACAGGACTTGAAATGTTTCCAACACATAGAATGATAAAACTTCAGTTGGTAGGCACCATAAATCCCACAATGCGATTATTACATATTGTATGCATGTAACAAAATATCTCATATACCCCATAAATATGTATAAAAATTATGCCTCCTTTGTGCAAAAAAAGATTATACCCCCCTGAATTTTAAGGAATTTCTATTGCATTGTATCTAAGGAATTTCACATACTAAGGAATACCTCTGTCAATTATACATGAAATATTGTTGTGAAATGTAATATTTAGTTGCTACAGAATATTTATTGTGGCCTCATCATAGAAAATGCCTATTTGAGGACGGGCGCGGTGGCTCAAGCCTGTAATCCCAGCACTTTGGGAGGCCGAGGCGGGTGGATCACGAGGTCAAGAGGTCGAGACCATCCTGGTCACCATGGTGAAACCCCGACTCTACTAAAAATACAAAAAATTAGCTGGGCATGGTGGCGTGTGCCTGTAATCCCAGCTACTCGGGAGGCTGAGGCAGGAGAATTGCCTGAACCCAGGAGGCGGAGGTTGCGGTGAGCCGAGATCGTGCCATTGCACTCCAGCCTGGGTAACATGGGCGAAACTCCGTCTCAAAAAAAAAAAAAAAAAAGAAAAGAAAATGCCTATTTGATATTGTCCCTCACAAAAATCACACCAGGTTATCTGACCACTGATCTATTTGGTATAATATGCATTGCGTTTTTGTATTTTATTTTCTCCCCTCTTAGCTGAACAGTCACGGCTGCTTCTCTCGGCAACTAAAAACCAAGGTCTTCCAGCTGAAGAGGAAGGAGTATGAAATGAAACTTCACACTGAGGCCAAGATCCAAGAAGAAGGGACAGGTTTGTGTACTACATGGGTGTGGGAGAAAAAACGGTAAGCATTGATTTGTCTTAGCCAAATAATGAATTGTAAGGCAGGGGTTGGGGGCGGGAGGTAATAGAATTATAGAGACATCACCCTTCCCAAAAGGAACATTTTTTTTTTTCAGAGGTGGAACTGACTGGAAGGGAGACTAGTGAAATCACAAGAACTGTCACGAAACTCTCATTTGTGAAAGTGGACTCAAACTTTAGACAAGGGATTCCCTTCTTTGGGCAGGTGGAGTATTTTCCAGTTCACTCATCAACCCATGTACTGTTATGGTTTCTGCTAAAACTGTGCCTGGTTAATGTTATCATTTAATATAACCAAAGGTATAAAATATCACCAAGGCTTGATTAGCATAACCAAAGTTATAAAACCACATAAAAATAGATTTATTCCTCGGTATATTTGTATATGAAATGTATATCATTATTCTAAAGCCTTATTAAAATTAGTAGAGCTTCTTCCCTCCTTTTGAAACAGCATTGTACAAGTCACTCAATCTCCTCATGGTTTACCAGACAGTCTCAGGTTTTTATGACATTTTATCACAAGAATCTGAAAATTCATGCTGACCAGTTTTATTACCATGCTAACACTAACTTTATATGGAAATAAGTGGGTAAGTGGTTTTAATTTTTATTTTGAAGTATTAAAGATTCAACTACAATGCTTATTTCATGGATATTATGTATACACTATTTTTCTATAAATAACAAATATATTTTTAAAACAGTGAACATGGGGTAAAATACTGCTATTTAAGGTTCTCAGATATTTGAATTATGAATTTTCATATTTTTACCAAAAACATCTTCTATTACAATTTTCCTGTTGTCAGCAGAGGTGCAAATGGATCTTTATGACTCTAGAAGTCTCAGATGACAGTTCCATGTGCTTCAATGTGTATTAACTGTGTATCATTTTCTTAATGTAAATGTTGTAAGATTTCAGCTATGAAGGGTATAAAAGAAAGAAGCATAGACTCAACAAAGTGGAGTACATCTTAGAAGGCTTGGTTATATCATGACAGCAAAATGTATTCAACTTTCTAAAACAGAAGTGCAGCTCATCTGTAAATTTCTCAGAAAGATATTGTACTTTTTAGATATATTTTATTGCTTTTAAATAACTATCCTATTTGTCATAAGACTCTCTAGCTAGAAGAAAATCAGAATTACGCGTCCATTCTTGTCTTCGTACATGAGCCAACATTTCACTGTCAAACTTAGATTTTGTAAATCAATTATGAGTACTGATGCAGGTCAGCCTATGTTCCTGTTACCAACTGTAGCTTATACTTGAAAAAGAATCACTACCTTTACAATCTGAACCGGACTACTGAACTGCCAGATACAGCACTAGCCGTAAAATGGCTTTGGGGATTTATTTAACACTGTGTGCCTCTTTTCAATTGTACATTTTTCACATGGGAAGTATGTCATAAATCTGCCTACCTTCCAAAAAGCCGAAGATCTAGGTTGAGCAGCAGAGTCCAAGTCTAAGACAGCTAGAAAAACACACAGGACAATGTATTAGCAACTGCTTACTGCATTTATGAGACTTCAGACACTAATCCATAGGAAGTTAATGGTCCAGCCCAAAATAGGTGTTTGAGGCACAAATACATTTAGTTAATAGATTAAAATAGTTCATTATCATATTACTCTAGTGCTCTGTGACTCTCTAAGAGTTATACATAATACACAGCATTTGCAAAATTCTAGAACACATTTTTCAGGTCACTTTCTTCATTATCCCTATCACCCTCTATCCCTTCACACTGTCCTGTTTTTCTTCTTAGAATTGATTACTGCTAAATTAGTGTATGTTATTTATATATTTATTTAGCATCTATCTCCTTCACTAGACAGTAAGCTCTTTGATGGGAGAAACTTTGTTTTTTTCACTTCTGTGTCCTCGGTGCCTGGAACCATGTTCAACATGGTTCTTAAAAAAATGTGATAAAATGAGTATGTTTGGTGCCTATTAGTTATTATCTATATAACTAATCCACAGCTTTTAATCTTCAGGTGCGCCTAGTAGATGGGAAAGGTGTCCCTATGCCAAACAAAGTCGTACTCATCAGAGCAAATGAAGCAAACCATCACTCCAATGCTACCACAGACGAGCATGGCCTTGTACAGTTCTCTATCAACACCACCAATGTTATGGGTACCTCCCTTTCTGTGAGGGTAAGTTTGGAGAGAAGCTACCAATGACATGCAGTAGCTTTGAAAACAAGGTTGCAAACCAACTGCGAGGAAATTTCCAAATTGTGTTTAGTTCTAAGGAGAGAAAAAAACCTAGCAATTAGAAACCAATTTAAGGTTAACTTTTTTAAAGTTTATGAAAAGCAGGCAGTATACTGTTGTGATTTAAAGTGCAGGTTAGGCCAGGCGTGGTGGCTCAAGCCTGTAATCCCAGCACTTTGGGAGGCCGAGGTGGGCAGATCACGAGGTCAAGAGATAGTGACCATCCTGGCCAACATGGTGAAACCCCATCTCTACTATAAATACAAAAAAATTAGCTGGGCGTGGTGGCGTGCGCCTGTAGTCCCAGCTACCTAGGAAACTGAGGCAGGAGAATTGCTTGAATACGGGAGGTGGAGGTTGCAGTGAGCCGAGATCATGCCACTGCACTCCAGCCTGGTGTCTGGTGACAAAGCGAGACTCTGTCTCAAAAAAAAAAAAAAGTGGGGTTAGACTCTAGCAGTGTTGGTGATAATGTAAAATGATGCAGCCACTATGAAAAACAGTATAGTAGTTCCTTTAAAAATTTAAACATACAGTTACCAGCTGGGCATGATGGCTCACAACTGTAATCCCAGCACTTTGGGAGGCTAAGGCAGGCAGATCTTGAGGTCAGGAGTTCAAGGCCAGCCTGACCAACATAGTGAAACCCCATCTCTACTAAAAGTACAAAAATTAGATGGATGTGGTGGTGCATGCCTGAAATCCCAGCTACTCAGGAGGCTGAGGCAGAAGAATTGCTTGAACCCAGGAGGTGGAGATTGCAATGAGCTGAGATCACCTCACTGCACTCCAGCCTGGGCAACAGAGCAACACTCCATCTCAAAAAAAATAAAATAAAGTTACTATATGATCCGGTAATTATACTACTAGACATATGTTCAAAACAATCTAAAATAGGATCTCAAATTTGCACACCCATGTTTATAGCAGCACCATTCACAATAGCTGAGAGATTGAGGCTACCCAAATGTCCATCAAGGGATGAATATATAAAATGTGATATATTCATACAACAAAATATTATGCAGCTTGAGAAGGGAAGGAAATCCTGTCACATGCTACAGCATGAATGAACCTTGAGGACATTATGGTAAGTGAAATAAGCTACTCCCAAAAAGACAAATACTATATGATTCCACTTACGTGGGGTTTCTAAACTAGTCAAAGACATAGAAACAGAAAACAGAATGGTAGTTGCCAAGGGCTGAGAAAAGAGAGAAATGGGGAATTACTCTAATTGGTATTCAGGTTTAGTTTTACAAGATGAAAAGTTCTGGATATCTATTGCACAATAGATATACTTAACACTACCAAACTGTACACTAAAAAATAAACATGGTAATTTTATGTTTTGTGCGTGTGTGTGTGTTTACAACAGTTTTTTTGAAAAGTGTGAATTCCAGAACGTGAATCAAGATAAAGTGGTTAAAAAATACTGGTTCAACCCTATATTAAGGAATTCACTAAAATCTCTATGTTTCATTTTCTTTTTTTTTTTTTTTTTGAGACGGAGTTTCGCTCATTACCCAGGCTGGAGTGCAATGGCACAATCTCGGCTCACCACAACCTCCGCCTCCTGGGTTCAAGCAATTCTCCTGCCTCAGCCTCCTGAGTAGCTGGGATTACAGGCACGCGCCACCATGCCCGGCTAATTTTTTGTATTTTTAGTAGAGGCGGGGTTTCACCATGTTGACCAGTATGGTCTCGATCTCTCGACCTCGTGATCTTATCTGTAAAATGAATGCAATATTAACACCTAACTCTTGGGGTGGTTGTGAAGATTAAGTGAAATAATACACATTGAAGCACTTACTAAGCCTCCTTTAATTATTAGATGCTTTTACTGTAAAAGCCAATTCTAACATAATTAGCATTTAGTTTTAAAAATATATACCCCATAAATTATTGCCTTACTTTATTTTGTCTTGCTATTCTAATTTTCTTCCAATGATCTGTTCATACCAATATTACTTGTTCAGTATAGCATGAAGTCCTCTATTCATAAAGAGGGATGTAGGCATGTCTACAGCTGTATGGATATACAATATATATTCTATGTATATTACATAATCATGGTAACGGAAGAGCACTGCCTCTTTAGAGTCCTTATGTTATTATAGAGAAATAAATAATACATTTTATTTATTTAGCTTTAATAGACGGCATAAAAGCACCTCAACTCAAATTTGAATGTTTACTCATTTCAAAAAATATCTTGAATGCTTTCTACATGCTAGGCATTGTGCTAGTCTTGACAATGAAATGATTATTTTTACATGCTCCCTTATTTCTACATGCTCCCTTATTTCTACGTGATCATATACGTGTTGTCACTAAAACGTGTATTAAGATGTGAACAAAATGTTTTGCTCAAAGATTCACTACTGTATTGGGAACTGGGGATGTAAAGGAAGCCTGAAAGGAGCTAAGGAATAACTTCTGCAGGGAGAAAAGTTGAAAATATAACCCAAATAGGGCCTCCAAGATGTAAGAATCCAGACTGCAGGAAGCATTAAAAATAATAAGCCAAGGCCAGGCGCAATGGCTAATGCCTGTAATCCCAGCACTTTGGGAGGCTGAGTTGGGTGGATGAGCATGAGGCTAGGAGTTCGAGACCAGCCTGACCAACATGGTGAAACCCCATCTCTAAAAAATATATGAAACAATTAGCTGAGTGGGGTGGCCCAAAGCTGTAGTCCCAGCAACTCAGGAGGCTTAGTGAGAGAATCAGTTAAGCCCAGGAGGCAGAGGTTGCACTGAACTAAGATCATGCCACTGCACTCCAGCATGTGTGACAGAGCAAAACGCTGTCTCAAAAAATAACAATCACAATAAGCCTAAGATAGCCCAGGAGAGGTAGACTTCAGCTAATTCACCAGCTCAGCAATTAAACCAATGCCTTTTACCAGTGTCTTCTCAGACCCCTAAGGTTACAATATTTTATTTATTCACAATACCCATTTGAAATCCATCATAAGAGAGGCAGCTGCTTTCTGAAAGCACAGTTCTTCCATTCCTAGAGATGATTTTCTCTCCTTTCCTTGAAATTGGTTTGGCTACTTTACCTGTGCAGTTAGTGACCCTGGAGCTGTAGACAAAGCATAAAGTAGCCAAAGAAATTTCCAGCAAGCTAATCAGAGCGAAGCGTCCCTCCTTTTACGCTCTTTAGAAATATAAATCCCAATCCCAGGAGCCTCTGCAGTGTAAAGTCACAAAGCATGCCGGCATTTAACGTGCAGAAACAAAAGAAGGGCCCCTTCTCTCACTTTTCTTTGTGGAACAAAAGGTTTCTAGCTACTAGTTAAGGTAGGTCAGTAAACTTACATCATTTTGTGAGAACATTAATCTTTATGACATATAATCTAAAAATAATATAATTTTTCTAATTCATTAGGTCAGATACAAGGATCGTCATCCCTGTTACACCTACCAGTGGGTGTTAGAAGAAAATGAAGAGGCGCAGCACATTGCTCATCTTGTGTTCTCCCCAAGCAAGAGCTTTGTCCACCTTGAGCCCATCCCTCATGAACTACCCTGTGGCCAAACTCAGAGAATCCAGGCACATTACATTCTGAAAGGAGACGTCCTGCAGGGGCTGAAGAAGTTCACCTTCTATTCTGTGGTGAGAAGGGAGGTCGCTGTGGTGACTTCTCCGTAGACAAAAACTCTCCGAGGAGCAAGTAATCGTGAAGCTCTTTAGATGTCATTACTTCGACTTCTTATCCATGTTCCTTTTGAAAGTTTGACTTCTCTTGAGGCTAAGTACTGCCAGCAGGGACTCAATAAGACAAGTATATTGAAGTGCGACTAAAGCATGTTCTCTGTTGGGCACATTCAATTTCTTTCTATTTCCTTTTTTGCAGATAATGGCAAAGGGAGGCATTGTCCACACCGGGACTTATGGACTGTTTGTGAAGGAGGGAGACAGTGAGTATTTCCATCATCTCTGCATTGCTGCCCCATTCCGACCCATTCAACCTTACACCACGGAAGTGTCAGGAACACTTCTTTTATTTCCATAGGTTTTGGGGGGAATAGGTGGTATTTGGTCACATGCATAAATTCTTTATTGGTGATTTCTGAGATTTTTGGTGCACCCATCACCAGAGCAGTAAACAATGTACCTAATTTATAGTCTTTTAGTCCTCACCCCTCCCACTCTTTCCCCTGACTCCCCAAAGTCCATTTTATCATTCTTATGAATTTGCTCAGCTCCCACTTCCTAATAGCTTAGTTCTCACTGCCTAATAGCTTA